AGCTGGGACCAGAATATACCGTGCATTTAGAGAGGAGTTATATAGTGCGTGCACTTAGGGAGGGTGCACTTAGAGAGTCTAACTGTATATGTATCCTACAATTTCTTATGGTATTATAGATAAATAGCAATTTTGCGCACAACTTGTACAAATAGACATTGCGCTATAATGTAATGATAAATTTATTTTTATCTGTTAAGTTACAAATAAATCAAAAACAAATTGATTATATGAAAATTAATGGTGAATTCATTATTAAATAAGTTGGTAGAATGACTAATTTATGCGAAGCAATAGATAAAATTCTTTCTGTCAGTACATCGGCAACAGCGACCTTATAAATTCATTTTAGATGATATTATTGATTGTTAAATAAGGACAGAAAATCCTTTAAACCTTCGAATTTACGATAAAATACAAAGAATTTTGCGTACAGTCAAATCTAAGAACGCCTATCATCCAGAATATCATATACCAATTTAATAAAAATCGAGGTCGTATGAGATCACATTTCAAGGAGGTTGACCGGTATACGACTATTGATTATAATGATAATTTTTAAATTATCAATCCAAACAGTCTTGATTCTAAAATTAAAAATGACTAATTAGGCACTACTTCATAGTCTCGTAACAAAGGTTAAATGAATCTATTTGATATGGTTCATAATTTAACATATCTTTACTTGATTAGACTTCGGTATGTGGTCTGTTCTTGAACATGAATAAAACATATAAAGTGAAACAATGATATTTGACGTTACTTTAAATCAATATAAATAAATTGTCATCAAATAATGAATTTACAGGTGCATAATTTTTTTATTAGTGAAATTGTCATATAGGGAAATAAAATATGGAATAGAGTGAAGACCTTTTAGATAAAAATAAATAAAAAGCTTATATAATACTATTATAAATAATGACATTATGGTTAAGCATAATATTGCTTAGCTACCTATATGCATTTTCGAGAATAGATAAAGTATTATTTTCATCTTGTACAGTTTCAAAATATGTTTCTTGCGGATAAATTACGATATGACCATTGACGAATTGGTTTAACATGTCGTCGTAATATGCGTTGGTTTGTGGGTGAAATTGCTGTCTAACTTGACCAGGTTGAATATTTAGAGCATGAGATCGCTGCAAGGTAATTTGATTTGATTGCTGTCTCAGTGGCTGCTGGTGATGATTTTGTTGTTGATGCGCTTGGGAAATGACACCGCGTTGAATATTACGATTGTTTTGGTAAACCTGCGACAGCATTAATGCATTTACTTGACTGTTATGGCTATTATTAATTGTACGAGCGTTAGAGCTTGTAGTTTGATTCATATTTATTTTTTTTCTTTATTTTTAACTTTTAAAAAATACCGAAACATGCTCCTTATATACTGTTTATAATTTATAAGATATTGAACATAATTTCTTATTAGCCATTTCAAACATCAATTCAGAAAATATAAATAAACGTGTGAATTTTTTCAGTTAAACGTGTAATAATCTGGCTTGTGAATTCAAAGTGCATGTATACTATCTGAGTGCTTGGTAATGTCATGTTGTTATCTATATTAATCGGTGATGCTAAATTGGGAAATTGCAAATTGCGGAGTTAAAAATACGTGCTAACTCAAACAAGTTTAGTTTTAATATTTTTACGGTTTTAATAATGAGTAAAAATTATACAGTCAAAGAACAAGGTTGTGACATCTAAATTATGCTTTAACATCAAGGTGTTCTATTATAACTCTTAAATAATTTATATATATTAAAATCAATTAAATAGTCGATTATTCCCTGTTTTTTGTCTTTCAAGCATTTTTCATAATGATAAGGAACACAACCTTTGTTTAAACACGCTGGGGACCATAAGCCTTTGTTTGGAATGCATATGGAAAATCAATACGATGCCAGTCCGTAATCAACGATTGTTGCTGCCGCAACGAAAAATCTTATGATCACGGGATATTCTGGACTTATATGTGTTTCTGTAAGTAATGTGTGGCAAAACCTTAAAAATAATTGATTTTTACTATCCAAAAGCGTGCACATGGATCCCAGAAGTTCCTACAAAAATTCCTACCTTGTAACGCGATCCCACTTTGAAGTATCAACATAAATGCGATCACTGAAATTCCTACAATAATTTCTACCTCGTAATATCAACATAAATGTCGTTTTCCTAAAAGTCAGAAGCATTTCATTAAAACTCTTATCTTCCACGCCCCAAAGTAATGATTATCATCATCTCAACCTAACAATTATTATTTTATATCGTTACATTTTAAAACCAAAAACCAAAAATAAAATGAACAGAGAGGTATTTATATAAAAATCATTTATCAACTCCAGTTTAATGTAATCTTATTACATATTTAGAAATTCACACAGAACATTCACTCAAAAGTGAAATAGTTTCAATTCAATTTCATAACATATATATTAGTTATTTATTAATATTATAATTATTATTAAATATAAGAACAGAATAACAAACCTTGTACTATAATAACTTGCGAAACCTGTAGTCCATCAACTTAGCATGGCTGTATAAAAATGAGAGATAATTGTATAAGGACAAATACTGTATATATAGGATAGCTCTAGAGAATTATGAGACAGGCAAAATTGGTTTGAAGAAAAATAAATATAAGATTTAATTTTGAAACTTTATCTAATTGCACTTCATCTTTTATGTCAAAATGAAATCAATGGCTTTAATTCTATTGCTATTTTTGATTTCTAAAATATTGATATAATTCTTTTAATATTATCTCTTGATATTAATATTATTATTTTGATATTGAGCTCATTATTATTATTTTTTATTTGCACTTGAATAACTTTATTAATTTATTTATAAACACTCTTAATTGTTTTGAAAAAGAATAGAATTTTTTATTTGAATTAGATATTTTTTAATTATATTAATAAATTTCATTTCTTTAAAAATAAATTATTATTTTGAATATTATCTTTGTTCCAATTGCTTAATCTTTATGAAAGATTAATATTAAAAATCTTTAGAATCTTAATAAAATCTACTCTAAGAAATATATAAAAATTATATTATTATACATGATTGCGATTTTGAAATACGTGTATGATGGACTTTAAATTCTCATTCAAATCTCGAATAAAAACGCAGGTTCCATTCCGTGAAACTCATCATATCGTTATATATTATTTTTTAATTTATATTTTGTATTATATATAATAATTTTATTTTATTTTTCTTATAATTATAATTAATTTTAATATTATTGCTTGTATTAAATAATATATTAGCTCTTTTATTAAAAATTTGTCTATTATATCTTTAAAAATAAATAATCAAAAAATCTGAAATTTAATTAGTAAAGTAAAGATTGCTTATATTTAAGTATAAATTAATTTATATATATTATATATAAATATTTATATTTTAAAGTTTATTATATAATAAAATATTTGAAAATATAAAATTATTTAAAAATATTTTAACTTTTTTAATTAATAATAAAAAAGTTATTTTGTATTTATTAAATAATAAATAATATATTGAATTTATTAAATTATTAAAAGATAAGTTTATATTTAATTAATTTTTTATTTTATATATTTTATATTCAAAATAATAAAAATTTATTTTTTTAAAAGTTATTATTTTTAAAAATATATAATAATATAGTTATATATAATAAAATTTATAAATTTTATAATAAATTACAATTAATTATCTTATAATATTAATAATAATATTATTTTTTTTAATAAAATAAATATTTTTATTAAAAATATAATTATAATTAAAACTAATAAATTTTTATATATATTAATATTTTAATTTATAAATATTATATAAAATAATTTTATTTTTTTATAATAATTATTTTATTTTTCTTATAATTTTAATATTATTATTTATAATCAGCATAAAAAGTAATAATAAACATATTTTTCATTTATAAATAATAAGAAATTACTAAAAATTTGGCATTATATTTAAGATAACAAAAACAAAATTTTCTAAGATCACAAAGTGTATTAATATAGTAATATTTTGTGAAATCATATGCTAAAGATAATATATTAGGACAATTTTGGTTAAAGTGCTATAAAAAATTATTTAAAAATATTTTTTATAAACAAGTATGAAAATAATTTTATAAAAATATATTAAAGATATAGAAAATATATTTGTAATTTAAAAAAATTTTTAATTAATATTTATTAAATAAATACCAGTCAAAAAAGTCTTAATTTTATAAATTTCATAATAAAGTATAATAAAATAATATTTTTATTATATTTTACTATATTTTACTATATTTTATTATGAAATTTATCAAAATTAAGTCTGAAATTTATTCAATAAATATTAACTAAAATTTTTTTTAAATTATAAACATATTTTTTATATCTTTAAATATTTTTCTATAAAATTATTTTTATACTTATAAAAATATTTTTAAATAATTTTTTATAGCACTTTAACCAAAATAGTCTCCAACTTGCCATTTTTAATATAAAATTTCACAAAATATTATTATATTAACATGTTTTGTAATCTTAAAAAATTTTATTTTCATCATCTTAAAAAATATAATGCCAAATTTTTAGTAATTTTTTATTAAGTTATAATAAAAAACATATTTACCATTACTTTCTATACTGACTGTAATTTAAAGTAAATTATATTCTTATTATAATTTATTTAATAATTTTTTTATAAACTAAAACTTTATTTTTATAATAAATTATAAATAATAATTAATAATTTTTGCAAATTAGTTTTATATAGCAATAATTAAAAGTCATTTAATACTTTAATTATTTTTAATTACTACTATATAATTAAAATATAAATAAATAAAATTAATTTTAATAATATTTCAAGTTTTATTTCTTTTATATTTTAAAATTTTAATTCTTTTATTAATTTTATTATAATTAATATTAAAATATATAATATATTTTAATATTATTTAAAATAAGTTAAATATTTAATATAAAGTATTTTATTAATATTATTATTTTTTATATTTAATAAATTAAAAATTTATTATATAAATTATATAATTAGTAAATTATATTTAATTTTATATTTATAATATTTTATTAATTTATTTTATAATATAAAATTAATAATTATTTAATAAATTAAAATAATTTTTATTTAATAAAATTAAAGTTAAATATTATTATTGTAGTAACATAAAATTCTTTAATTTCTTAATCTTTTCTTAGTTATAAAAAAATTATATTTTATTATAATTTTATTTATTTTATAATTATCCCTATTTTCTATATCATTTATTACTATATTTA